GATGATGATGGCTGTGGCGATGCGGATCATGATGATGCTGATGATGAGGATGCTGATGTTGTTGGTGTTGTTGATGATATTGATGCTGATGCTGCTGATGATGATGATGATTATGATCAGAATGGTGGTGTTGATGATGAGGATGAGGATCACGAGGAGGAGGAGGAAAAGGAGGAGCAACTGGAGGAGAAGGAGGAGGATCAGGGAGTTTTGATATTGAAGCGCAGGAGGATAAGGCGGAGGACCAGGACGAGAAGTGAGGATGGGGATGGGTGCAATGCGGGCATCGAGGAGTAGGAGGAGGAGCAGGAAGATGAGGAGGAAGCCGAGGAGGAGGATGAGGAATCTGAGAAAGTGGAGCAGGATATGTAGAACGACGACGATGAGGAGAAGGAGGAGGAGGCTGGGAACGAGGAGGAGCAAGAAGAGGATGAGGATGAGGATGAGAATGGAGAAGAGGATGAGGATGAGGATAGCGATTACGATGACGATGATACTGATGATGATGATGATGGTGATGATGATGATGATGATGTTGCTGCTGCTGATGACGATGATATGATGGTGATGCTGACGATGATGATGATGAGGATGATGCTGTTGATGCTGATGCTCATGTGTTGTTGCTTCTGACGATGATGATGATGGTGATGATGATGGTAATGATGCTGGTGATGGTGATGTTGATGATGATGCTGATGCTGATGCTGATGATGATGATGACGATGATGATAAGAAGGAGGATGAGGAGGAGGATGACGAGAAGGAGGAGGAGGAGAAGGACGCCGAGGATGAGAAGTTGGAGCAGCAGCACCCGGAATACAAGGAACATGCTGATGATTATGATGATGATCATGCTGATGACGATTATGGTGATGATACTGATGATTATGAGGATGATGATAATGATGCTGCTGCTGATGCGGATGATGATGATGATGATTGTGATGATCATGGTGATGATGCTGATGATTACGATGACTATGATGATGAGGAGTATCAGGATGACGACGATGATGTGGTGATGTTGGTGCTGATCATGCTGATGACGTCGATGACGGTGATGGTGATGATGATGATGATGCTAATGATGCTTATGCTGATGATAATGAGTCGGATGGTGATGCTGATGAGGATGCTGATGATGAGGGTGATCCTGCTGATAAGGGATGCTGCTGTCGATGATGCTGATGCTGCTGCTGCTCTGCTGACGATGATGATGATGACTGTGACGATGCTGATGATGCTGATGATGATGGTGATGGTGGTACTAATGGTGACACTGATGCTGATGCAGATGCTGATGATGATGCTGATGCTGACGCTGCTGTTGTTGTTTATGATGATGCTGGTTATGGTGATGTTGATGCTGATGATGATACTGATGCTAATAATGATCATGGTGATGATGATGATGATGACGATGGTGGTGGTGAGTGTGACGATGGTGATGCTGTTGACGATGATGCTGCTGATGCTTATGATTTTGCTGATGATGATGATTCTGATGCTGATGCTGATGATGACCATGCTACGGAGGATGATGATGATGATGCTGATCATGGTGTCGCTGATGATGATGAGGACTACGATAATGAATCTGACGGTCAAAATGACGATAACGATGACGATGATGATGTAGATGATGAGGATGACGATGTCGATGACGATGATACTGATAATTATGATGATGATGCTGCTGCTGATGATGATGCTGATTACGATGATGATTCTGAGGACGAGATGATAGCGATGGTGATGATGATGATGTCGACGATGGGGATGACGATGACGATGATGATACTGATGATGCTGCTGATGATGATACTGATAAAGGTGCTGACGTTGATGATGAGGATGATGCTGATGATGAGGATGATGCTGATGATGATGTTGTTGTTGCTTCTGACGATGATGATGATGATGGTGATGATGGCGCTGGTGATGATGATGCTGCTGATGATGATGACGATGTTGATGCTGGCGAGAATGTCGATGATGATGATTACGATGCTCCTGCTGTTGATGATGATACTGATTATGAGGGTGCTGATGACTATGATGGCGATGATGGGCTGTTGTGTGTGTGTGGTGGTGATGAGGATTGATGCTGATTATGATAACGATGATGCTGCTGCTGATCACGATGATGTGATTGTTGTTTTTGTTGTTTTTTGTTGTCGTTGTCGTCGTCGTCGTTGTTGTTGTTGTTGTTGTTGCTGGTTGTTATTGCTATTGTTGTTGTTGTTGTTGTTGTTGTTGTTGTTGTTGTTGTTGTTGTTGTTGTTGTTGTTGTTGTTGTTGTTGTTGTTGTTGTTGTTGTTGTTGTTGTTGTTGCTGCTGCTGCTGCTGCTGTTGTTGTTGTTGTTGGAAAAGGCGTGCGTGGGGGCCCCGGCCGCCCCCCCCCCCCCAAGCAACCGAGCAACTGAGCAACCCTCTCTGGGGGTCTCCTGGGGGCGCCAAGGATTCCCTGATAGGATTTCCTAGGAAGTCTATAGGCTTCCATAAGGATTCTATAGACCTCCGTAGGAATTCTATAGGCCCCCATCGGAATTCTATAGGCCTCCATAGGAATTCTACAGGCCCCCATGGGAATTCTATAGGCCTCCATAGGAATT